ATCTCCTAGTTTTTAATAGCTTTGCCCCATTGCCAGCAATGTACATCCTATGTTGTCAGGGAAAGGAAGGGCCTTGAAGGAAGAAGGTATCAGAAGACGACAGGTGATTATGAGAGGAGATGAAAAAGGAGACGTGATTTTTTTTAAAAAAGGTTTGCCAACAGTATTTGAAAAAGAACATGATGTATAGGTGATTTTGGAAAAATGTTCCTCCCTAAGATTCATTTAGTAATGGAGATCAGCAACACATATCCATTAAGACACAAACTGTCTGCCTGAAGAAGAGGGTAGTCTTTTTGACCACATTAACATGAAGAACAACAATCAAAGGTAGGCAACAAATTTTAGAAAGCTAAGAGTAGACATACTTATAGCATAGTAATGGTGAGGTTTTATCGTGAAGCAATGGAAGCATTTAAGATGTATAAATTTAAGATGTTTCTGTTAAGATGTTAAATGATTTTGTATATCTATTTTGAGACTTGCCTGGAAGATCAGAGATAGTTGAGATTGATGGGTGATCTCAACTAAGGTGTGTGTATGTGTGTGTGTGTGTCATAGGTGCTTTTATTCTCCCAAAAATGTCACTGGAGATATATGCTAATTAGAATATATATATATTGAATACAGTAGAGTCTCTCTCTCTCTGTCTCTCTCTCTCTCTCTGTGTGTCTCTCTCTCCCTGTGTGTTAAGCAGCTGACGTGCACAATCTGCTGTGCCATGTGAAGCAGTTGAGCTTGAAAACCAGGTAATAAAAGTCAGAATGGAGAGCAAGAGCTGATAGTCGGAGTGAACCGGTTTGCTCACAGATGATCCTCAGAGCTACCGGTTTGTCTGAACCGGCCCGAACCAGTAGAATCCCAGCCCTGCTCCCATCCCTTTTTATTTTTCATAAAGCCCTCAAGTCCTGGTTATGCTGCCAGGCCTGGGGCTCACAGAGACCATAGAGTTGTCCCAATTACTCCATTGCTGAAGGAGCCATTTTTATCCTCCCTTCACCAAAGAATAGCATTTTTTGTTTTTATGCTATTTATTACTGTGACTTTTTATATTTTGGCAAAAATAACTATCTACAATTAATCAAAATCTTCACTGTATATTCCAAGGTTGGTTGGTTATTGTTTTGTCATCATTTTGATTTTTTCCCCTATTTAATCATTATCCAATTTCTTTCCTGTGGTGTTGATTTTCATTACTGAAGTTTGGAAAGCCTTTGCATTTTGGCTATTGTAGTAGTGTCATCAGCACAGTACACAGAGGTGGGATTCTACAGGTTCGCACCTATTCGCTAGAACCAGTTGTTAACATTCTAAGCAGTTTGGAGAACCGGTTGTTAGAAGAAATTACTGGCCTAATCCTGTAAGGAAGGCAGGAAGGAAACATTCTGGTGTTGCTTACCGAAACTGCCTCTCCATTAACTCTTATTACATTCTTGGCAGGACTAGACTTCCTGTCTCTGGAACTTCTCTGGAGTTTTTTTCCTGCTTTGCTGGTACTTTAGTTGTGTGAAGTGACCATTCAAAGTTACAATGGCACTGAAAAAAGTGACTTATGACTGTTTGTCACACTTAGGACTGTTGCGGCATCCCCAGAGTCATGAGAGGCCAGGCGAGGAGATGCGTGCCTCAATGTGAGTGATGTTGAGTTGGCCATGCCCAGCCAGTCACATTACCACCAAGCCATGCCCATCAACTAAGCCATGCCCACAGAACTGGTTGTTAAAAAATTTGAATCCCATCCCTGATGGTACAGGTTATTGATGTTTCTTTCTCCAGTTTAAAACCATACTCATCTTGCAACCTAGATTTTCTTAGTATATATTCAACATACGGATTGAATAGGATAAGAAATATAGATCTTTATCATTTATTTGACAACTTGGAGTCAATCTATTTCACCATGTTTTACTTGAACTATGGTTTTTTGTGTATAAATTTCATTTGAGACAACAAAATGATTTTGGATTATAGTTGTATAACTTGACAGATTTTTTTTGTAGCCATTGAAATGCATAGGGGCTTCATTTTGCTATGCTTCTAATTCAGTCTCTCTCATTGTATGTTGCATATATAGGACATATAAATAAATAAATATGCAGCCTTGTTTTACTCTTTTAATAATTTGGAGTCAGTTTGTTTTTCTATATTCCATCTGGATTGCATCTCCCTATCCTGAGTAGACAATTCTCATAATATAAAAAAGTATAGATCTAACCTTCAAAGTAGTGAAGGAATGAACAAACCATTGAGGGGAGCCTGTCAAAAAAGACCATATAGTTCTAAAAAAGAAGAAAGCACAAAGAAGAAACTCAAAGTAACCTGACTGACTTTGTTTAGTCCAAGATAGGGCAGAGAAAAACTTGTATAGTCTTTCAAGATTCTTTTGTTACCTTATTACAATAAAGACCATCCCTGAAATCCTTCCAGTGCCTGACTCTTGAACCTTCCTCACCTTAAATGCTTGACACAGGAGGGCAATAAAATGTTCTGGTATTTCTATTGTAGTAATGATATTTCACAGCTTGACATAGTTGACACAATAGTTGTTCTGTAGTCAATAAAAGTATTTAGCATTTCTCAATTATGCATCATGTATCAGCAATAATGTCTAAAACAAAAATTCTGAAATTGGGTAGCTGACAATAGAACTGAATGTCAACTCTGAATTGAACCTGGATGGAACCATCCTGTGCTACTTCATAGATGCCACACAGTATGGGGGGAGGATGAGGGGGAAATAGTTAGACTGTCTCATAGACAAAATAAATAGCTCTCCCATGGGAACCAAGGTCATCCCAACAGGTGACCATTGGAGGAGTAGAAGTGATTGAGGAAACCTACCATCTGTTTTGATTGGACAATGTGACCTGTGACACCTGGGGAGAGAAACTTTTGCTCTTTTAATTATATGCTAACCGTGGGAAACTTTTAGAGTTGGTTTTCACTGGCTGTGCCGATACAATGTACAAATTTTCTGAGGAACGTTCCTGCCGTGGGGTTCTGATTTACTTGATGTGTAACTTGGAATGCTGACACTGAATTTGAGTATTTCTATTCTAATCCGATATCTGAATCATTAGAACAGGTTGGTTTGATCAGGAATGGTTGCTCTGTAGATTACACAAGTAAATTACACAAAGCATAGTAATTGGTTTCAGCTTTTGCCTCCCTTCCCAAAAAAATCCATTATCTGTGCAGTTGTGACTTAATGGAGGATTACAGAGTTTGGTAGGCATGTAGGCCAAAATCTCAAGTTCCTTGGCATGTTCATTGGCTTACAGTAGAGTCAAGGAAGCTGTAGCAAAAGGGGCGGCAGTAGGCATTGAGAAAGAGCAACAATAATTGTAGACTTGATTTGTGGCGCAGACACTTTGGCGTACAGTTTTTTAAGAACCAAGTATGAATCCACGTTCTGTTTTTTGACTTTGGCTGTCACTTACACTGGCTGTATACATATTGATTATCCTTTAATTCTCAAACAAAGAGGATTTGAGTTGGCAGTAGATCAGGAAAGGGATAACGAATAATGGAAGATAATGCTATAAAATGTCAACAAAGTAAAAAGCTAATATAAAAAAAATCTCTCAAATTCTTGCTTGGAATAATTAGTAAATAGATTATAAATGTAATAATGTTGATATAAAAAATGACCTTATATACTTTTCTTCTGTGGTTTGCTTTAAGTCTGCATACCCGGGCTGCAAAAATCTAGGACAACCATTCCAGAGAGAGAAAATGCACTGTTGCTGCCCAATAAGAATCTGGGTGTCTGCAGTTTCTCCATTTTCTAATATTAAGAAATAATATTAGAAAGCTAGAAAGGAGAAGTAAAATTAGTAGGAGAGAAGAGAAGTTTCCTTATGAAGAAATATTTTAGCATTTCTTTCTTAGGAAAAAAAATGTGCAATATGTGAACATTGTAAAAATATTTAAAATTATGCATGCCATGAAAAATCACCTCCCACTGTCACAAAATTAGAATTTGAGATCATCCCTTGAAGTTAAATGCATAGAGATTCAGAACCAGCAAGAAGTAGCATTTTTTAAATTCAACACATGGTAAAACTGAAATTCACTGCATCAGATATGGTGTTAATTCTACTGTGTTCAGCTGATTAGATAAGTTCATAGAGAATGGAGCTATTAATAGTTTCTAGTTTGTGATAGTGTCCACCCCTTAAATCTAAGGAAGCATTTCTAACACTCCTGGAGATGCTTGGTGATGCCATAACAGTCCAAGAAAACTACTGCTTTCTTATCTTGCATAAGACACCTGGTTGTCAATTGTGATCTGACTGACAAAGGCCCATGACCTGATTAAATAGACCTTCCAATATTTTTCTGTTCAGAGATGTAAATTAGACGCGAAAACATTCCTGTGTAGATGAGTTTCAAATTAGCATATTCATTTCAATATCTGTAGTATAGTTTGTAAATTGCTATATTATTTAATGTGAAAAAACTAAAACTAATTTATTTAAGAAGTTTGAACAGTACATTTGTTTAAAAATCTTTGATGTATAAGAAAAACATTTTGTCAGAAAGTCTTATTAATATCAAAGTTTGATAGGTGCTTTTAATTTACTATGATCTTATCTCCTATTAAACTATTTTGACTTACTTATAGAGGACAAAAACCTATTATGCTAAAAATTGGTGCCTTTAAAAATATTGAAATCAATATTCATATTTCATAAAACAAAATCTGTGTAATTGGCAGGATATATTACAATATATAATTTATTATTACAGTTCTCACAATGGGTAACTGTAACATTGTTTATATTTAATTGTGAAAATGTATTATTATAATTAAATCATCTATCCTGATATGATAGAATTATGACAAAAAACACACACACACATATACTCTATACTTGTGTGTGTATACACACAGACACACACAGACACACATACATACACAAAAACCAATGCTTTAATTACTTCAGCATTCCTGAAAATATAATGACTTTTATTTTGTTTTCTTTTGTTTCCAACAGGTACGATTGTACGCAAGACCTGATGCCATTAGAAGAGGATCCGGAGACTATGCTCTAAACATTACACGGAGATTAATTGAGTTCTATGAAGATTACTTCAAAGTACCCTATTCCTTGCCAAAATTAGGTAAGTTTTTCCAGTTAAAACTGAGCTTTTCAAGAGGAAAAAAGTGGATTACTATTGTTCTAGATTGAAGAAAGCCAAATTATAATGTTTGGATCTTCACTTGTTTTGCAATGTACGGGGGCCAAGATCTAGGAAATGTATTATTTAGCAGACCAACATGATCACAAGTATTTTCTAATGTTCAACCCTAGGGGGTTTTAGTTCTGGAATTCAGAGCTTCCTTCTTTAAAGAACGTATTTGCCAGGCACTACCTTTCTTGACTTATGAGTAATGGTGTGACAGGCATTACTTTGATTGGTAATGTTGCAAATGGACAGTTTAAACATTTTATAAGATGTGTACTGCTTTGTCATATATATTGTGCGTAATTTATCATAAAATTATGAATCTTAGGCAGAAAAATCTAGCAATGTCAGAAAGTTAAAAAGAAAACACATTATGTTTGTAATTTGCAGAAAGAAACTTATATTTACAACTTTAGATAATTGAAAATATTGGAAGACTAGAAGAATAATTGCAACGGTTTCATTTTTTATGATTCAATTAAATGTAATTGTTCAGTGTATTCTCTAGACAATCTTTCCCCAGGGTCTTGCAGCTGTTTTGGGACTGTGGTTTTCAGGCATACTACCTAGAAATTATAACTACTGAAATTGTTTTACTTTAGCATCAAGTTATATTAATTATTTATTTAATGTGTTTTTCAAGGCACTTTGCATTGTAGATTTCCTGCATAACAATTATACAAATAGATTTTTATTTAAGGCATAGTTTGAAATTGACTGTTAGGATTTCTGATTCTTGCTTTTATTACCAAACTACGGCAGAAATGTATTTTGTTATACAGTATATATAATTGGTGCAAAGATTCTGCATTTAAATTATTGTCTAGCACTATCAATCAAAACATATTTTATTAGTCTTAAGATGACTTCTTGAACTCATTACAATTTACAGAGTTCAAAATGTCTTGTAATTAATATTTAAGTATGAATTCAAAGTGTCATTTCAAAGTTTTAAAGCATAAGCCTGGAAAATAGGACTTTGAACAATTTCTTAAAGCAACCTAGTGTAGTCTAGATATTTGACATATACTTGTTATCTTAAACAAACCAAGGACACAGATTAGGAAAAAAGTAAACTTTCTTCATGACTATATATGGCAAACAAGATTTATTTCTGGTCTGGAAATTGTAGTAATGATACTTTTTGGATGTATATTTTTCCCTCGTCATTTATATTTCTTCAATATTTTTTCTTGTATCCTATTTTTTTAAATAAATATATAAGAAGCAGTGGTGAGGTTTACAGTTCCAGACTAATTTCTCTGCCTATGTGGCAGAGTAATTTCAAAGAGGTTAAAATAAAAACTAAGAAGAATAAAATATTTTTTCTTTTTTTTCCAAATTGAGAAACATCATATGAAAATAATGTGATTTGAAAATAGGAATTTTAATTGATGACGTTTCCAAAAGAACCACAACACTTCTCTGTAAGCAAAAATGAAATGATGTAATTCACTTCTGAATTTTGTATCAATAAGATATTTAGGTAGTGCTAAAAGGAAAGTTTGGAAACAGTAGCTCTCTCAGTAAATTAATGATAAAATTATTACTTTATTTATTGTTCTATATTTATTGTTATATATTATTGTTCTATATTTATTTGTTGAAAATCAGTAGATTATCATGAATTTTCATTATTTGCAGTATGCATATGGGACTTTTTGAAAATTGATGTGTGCAGTAGTGAAAGCTGGCAGGGCATAATTTATTCCAAATAAATAAATTTGTTATAATACTTGTCATAAAGTGTTTATTTAAAATTTGACCAGTGCAAATATTGTACTTGTCAAATCATCTTTTATGGTTTCTTGCTCTTTAGTAGTCCTATGTATTACTATCTGCATATATGATTCTTTTGTGCTAACCAGGTTTTTTCAACTGAACAAAGCATGTGTGTGATTCCTTCACTACCCCATCATGAATGGAATACTCCCAAAATATGAAAGAATAAATATGTGCTTATATATTTAACTATTTAAGTATAATTAGATTAAAAAGTATCTGTTCTGAAAATTCAGACATGTGAACAAAGTGATGGTTAAAAGCTCAATCTGAAATCTGTGTAGCTTTGACGAATGACTAAAACCATATATTGCTTAGAATGTCTATGGTCTCTTGAGAGTATTCTGGAAATGCTTTAGCTACTTTCAGTGAGTTAAGTGCTTAAAGTAAAAACTGAAAGTATTTGAACCAAAGACAGTCTTCATTAGAGTTCTTTTACTCTTCAGTGTTTGAGCACTCACCCTTGATTTAGGAAAGTAACACTTTCATGTAAGGCTGCTAGTGATTGCCTTTTTAACTTAATAACATCTCTTCTTGAGCAGAAACTATTATGACTTCTGGATGTCAGATTTTCATGGGGAATAATGACTACAGCTCTAAAACCTGGTATTGAGGATTATTACTTTAGGTCAGGTAGAACTTTTAAGAATTTCTAAGGTAATTTTCTCTAAACTATGGTTTGGATGAAGTGATGGGAGATTTTATGTAAGAGTTTTTAGGAAAAGGTGAAATGTATAGATTGAGAAGGAAATGTCACTGTGTATCTATAGTTCCTTATATAAAACAATTCCTATGCATTGTCAACTAGGCTGATAAACACACCTGTTTTTGTACAGAATATTATGTTGTCCTGTAAGATGGGGAAAGATTGAGTAGTTCCTTCCACATCTGCAGTGGTTGCAAATAGTAAGAATGGCAGCTACTGCTGCTTTATTTCATGTTAGGCAAAGAGATTGGCAGTAGGCAGTCTGATAGCTCACCAGTGATATCAGTATACTGCACTGAAGGGGTTGTATTTTTCTAAGTTATTCTTGGCATGATGAGGCTGTCCTTCAACAAGTACTATGGATCAAGGATGAAAATGAAATTTTATTTCATATAGATTTTGTGTTAACTGAAATGTCTACATTCTCTCTTCAGTTTCCATAACAATTTTCCCTTTCTAACCCATTAAAATTGATATTAATTTTTGGTATTTTCTGGTACTTCCAAGGATTTAACAGGCCACATGTGGGTCTGGTTTTTCTGATTATGTACCTCTTCTGTAGAAAATTATAGCATAGCTGGTTTTCTACACTATGCTCTGTCTATAAATATCTTCCATTCCTTTGTTTCCTGTACCAAGCAGGGTAACAAAAAAATATACCACATCCAAGAGTTTAGTGCCACCATATATCCTTTGTTCAAATATTACCACCTATGTTTTCATGCAAACAAGTTATGGGAACCAATCTTGTGTGTTGCCCTTAACATCTCCCTAACTTTTTGTTTTAACGTTTTGGTTTATAGCTTTAATAATCACAAATGAGTAGCCTCATAGATTGTGCCATGGGACCCAAGATGACTCATCTCCAGGCTCTAGTAATCTGACATATTTTCTTTGTGTAAGTACTTTCATCAGTAATATCTTCAACCATTATGTGTTATTGCATTTTCCATCATCCATTGTGATTTATGAGATAGAGGAATATATAAAAGATGTTATTTATTCAAGTAGGTAGCTCATTTGCTCACATGTCTGAATTACCTATGTACATTTTTGTAAAATTCAGAAATCACACAATAGATAAATGGCATCGGATAATAGAGATGAAAATTTCAAGTGAAATTCCACTGCAGACATAATTATTTGGGTGTGCAAATCTGTACTAATTTTCAAATGTAGGTAAGATAGATATAATAAATGATGGCCCCAAATCTAGAAAAACTATTGAGGTTTTGGACAGGTAGAAGAAGTGGAAGGTAAGCATTTTGTTCTCTTCCAGACTTGCTCTTTACAACAGGAAAGATCTAGTCTTCTGAGATTCCTTATAAAGAGAGCAACAAAGGAGTGTCTTGGCTTAGGGATCCTATATAGCTGCCTCCATAGGGGAATAAATGCTGCTGAGGAAGGTTTTATATTTTACCCAATCTGGCCAAGATGAAGACCCAATGCAATTTCAGAATTAGAATTGAGGAGAGATAAGTTGATGACAGATGGCCATTTGAAAAAAGTCCATGAATGGTGGGATTTACATTGTTTTAAAAATTAATATCCCAGATATGTTGCTTAATTGTAACCCCCACCTCATTGTGGAGGAACAGGAAGCGAGGCTGTAGACCCTAGAAAGGCTGCCGGTCCTGACAGTATCTCTCGCTGAGTGCATAAAGACTGTGCTGATCACTTGGCTGGAGTCTTTACCAGGATCTTCAATTGGTCTTTATCCCAGTCCACTATTCCATCTTGTTTGAAGGCTTCCACCATTGTTCTGCTGCCAAATAAGTTATCTATCAATAACCTCAATGATTGCAGACCAGTGGCACTTACTCCTATCATCATGAAGTACTTTGAGAAATTGGTCTGCTGGCACATCATTTCTGGTCTTCCGCATACATTTGATAAATATGGATCTTGGACTTTGTTATTCAGTCTGCCTTTGGATTATGGAGTTCCTGTCTGGCCACTCTCAAAGGGTCAGATTAGGTAATCATATCTCTTCAGCCCTACACCACAGTGTTGAGTGCCTTACTCTATACTCTTTATGTGCATGACTGCATTCCCACTCATGTTAATAATACTATTATTAAATTTGTAGATGATACAACAATGGTGGGACTCATCTCTGGGGGAGGGGGAGTCTGCCCATCGAGATGAGGTGGACCAGTTGCTTTCATGGTGTGGAGACAATAACTTGGTCCTTAACACCAATATGACCAAGAAGCTTATAGTGGACTATAAAAGAAATAGATCAGACATCCAGCCCTTGCTTATAAAGGAGGTTGAGTGGAACAAGTGGAACTGTTCCAAGTGGAACAGTTTTATGTTTCTGGATATTATCATAAAAGAGGACCTGACCTGGGGTACTCACATTGCAGCACTGGTCAAAGGGCCCAGCAGAGATTATACTACATGAGACTTCTCAGGAAACAATAACTGAATGAAAAACTGCTGG